TAAAGGAGAAAGAAATTAGATGGAACTCTAGTGAGAATAAATATGACGGAGGACAGATGGTAACTAGGAAAAACCATAAGAGTTTATTACATATCTGCGATTATACGGAGTAGATACATCTGAGTCATAAAAACAGTGGTTAGGAGTCACATCCTTACCCAAATCTACACTCTCATCCAGAGTGTAACTCGTCATATTATACTACTTAGCTTAGGAGATAGGGCACAGACACCTACGATTTAACACCAGTAGTCTTTTCATATTTCTGAGCTTCAATGTTCACTTGTCACAACCTAGGTGGACAATATCGGAATATTATAGAAATAAGGACTTCCCCAAATAAAAGCCACTTGAAAAGAAGTTACCAACAATGCTACACATTGTGCCTTAAATGAGAAACAGGCTGTGAGGAGTAAATCAAAACTGAAATTAATGCTGAAATTATGCTGTGAATGCCAACAACTACCAAACCAATTAAGACAACAACGTTTCGTTAAATAGACTGAATATACCAGTATGATTTCACTAAAATCCGGAAATAAACGTTTAAATTTTGGACTTCCTACCTTATTTAATCCATCACATTTAGCAGACATCAGCCTTAAGAGACATTTCCTGACACAGGTACAGCAAATGCAACGCAGTTCAAGCACATTACGCTACCGATATTATCTATGCCAGAAGGGTTTCTTAATTCAAAATTAAATTTAAAAGGCTTATAAAAGACATAACTTGTCACTAAACCAACATAGCAATGGACAACGACATTGCAGTTGGCGGGGACGCGCAGTAAAGTCACTCGTGATGTGTATTCAAGAAGTACATATGGCAGCCTCCTCCCCTCCTACTCTTCCAGTCACATCGGAAGTGCGTAAACTTATCGATGTTTATCCCTGCGTCTGATGTGACAGAGCGACACCAAGAATCATACATAATAATGGGTGTACATACCATTATAAGTATAAGACTTGGGCACCGTGGTAGGGCATAGCTCCATTATAGATAAGGAGTGGCTTTATTGCATATCCCAGCTATGATGCTTGTTGCTATGGGTTTCAAGTGGCCTTAGTTTTTGGGAAGATGTAACTGATATAATATTGCGATTTTCTATCAAGCTATATACGAGTATTTGCGCACTGAGCATTGGTAGTTTGTATGGGATACATCCAGCATCAACAAGGGTCGAGTAAAGTTGAAAGTTAATAATATAATAATATATTTTATTTACACAAATTAAGCATTTACATGATTGGCGTACCGTTTGTACAGGTATGATCATATTTGAAGTATTGGAGCTCGTCAATCAGGCTCAGACGTGGTCAGGCATCCAGTGGTTCAGTGAGACATGTTGATCCTGTATTACAAGCAGTGTCAGTATCGCATTCTTCGATGTCTGTCGAGTGACTATTTGCTTCTTCATGTGAATTAGAAGGTGTAGTATTGGCTTCGCTACAGATAGGCTAGTGTTTTTCTTAAGTAGGCTGAAGACATTGGTGAGGTTTTTATTTTGCCTACGCTTGTACAATCATTTGATGTGTCTCACAGATGTGTGCGGCTTAGACTGTTCCTGTTTACTTACCAATAGACCCAGCACTAGTGGTTCGGGTCGGAAAGTGTCAACACCCCCACCACCTGCCTCCTCAAAGCTGTCAGGGATGTAGCTGATAATAAATTGTTGCTATCTGGTGATGCCTATGGCTGATAACTCCGCCTATTACATGCAGGCATTGGCCTTGATCTTATGTAGCTTTCATTGTGTGCTATGTTTTACTGCAAATTAATTACTTGTGCCATATATCCTAGCAAAGTTTTCGCGTATGCCATTCTCTGAAGACCCTGAATAATTGGAAGCTGAGCCCTGAGTGTTTTCCCCAGTACCACCCAGAGTGGCGGCATTTAGACGCCGGTTATAGATGTTGGCTATAGTGAGACTTGGTGTGTCACACGAGTGTTGGTGTTATTTTCCTTTGAAAGCCTGTTCCTATTTCTGCCACCAGTCTGGTTCCTAGGACAATTTTCTGTCTTATTTCCATTCTAGTGTAAATACTTCTTAGAAGGCTTTTGCTAACGTAGTGGATTTTTGGCAACGGGTGGTGCATTTCTGCATGATTTGTTGCCGAATTTATCTTTAATCCTCGCGTTATGGCTATGAGGGGATGTTGTCGACTTAAGAGAGGAATTGGTTTCAGTTTTAGGGTTACCCAGAGACACGTTCAGGTACATGATAGAGGCTGTAGGGCCACATTGAGAAAGGGACTGTAATCTACTGGCCTTCCTGCTGGTGTATCCTGTGGAGCTAATTTTGTGGGGTTTGAGAGATGGGAGACCGTGAGTTTTACTGTGTTGACCGTGTGGTGGATGTAGTGTCTTGTTTTTCTTACCATTAGGTTCAGTGAGGTGATTGTAATCACGACTTCCAATCACTGTTACCTTTTCAACTTTTATTTACTTGTAGCTCGTATCCTGTAATAGGACACGTTGTGATTTGATGAATTTCTTAACCTCTGCTTTTGTTTCAAACTGAAGGTGTATAGGACAGCAGTGGTCGTGCTGACTCTTTTTCAGTCTGTGACATTTTGTTTATGTGTTGGGAATTTTCACCACCCTAAGTAAGATGCTTTGAACCTTTTTCAACCCCTCATTATCCTGTATATTATAGAATATCACATTTAGTTTAGTATCAAGTCTTTTGATAACCTCTGTTGTGGTGAAGTTCATCAGGACATCTACCTTGGTTACCAGTTCTCTATCAAGTTCTCCAGAGTTTATGGTTCTGGTCAGAATGCTCAGAGGTGTAAGTTCAGAGATCTGGGATTTAATGTCACTGATCTGCGTTGATAGTTTAGATATGCTGGCCAAATTTTCTGAACAGCCTGAATTCAAAGCCTTACCACATTTAATTTATGTCTCAGTTTTGACCTCTTCTACAGACAGCTTTAGTAGTTCTGGTTTGAAGTAAGAGTTGAAAATAGACTCAGTGTCTGAAGTTCTGTGAAGGGATCTAAGTCAGAATCAGGTGCTGAGTTTGTAGGAGCGATGCCCATACTCGTTGTCAGAATACTCTTACTCTGATTTCCAGTGGCTTTAGATGGTAGTGACAAGGCAGCTCAACGCTCGCGGCATACTGGCGAACTGTGTGACTCACTACCACATTTTGTGGGATTAGAGTAGCAAGCAGGTATGTGCTATCGATCACCAGGTTAATAGGTGTTTGTGGCCTCTCTATTTGATTAACCACAACGAATTATTGATACAGTTTATCGTTACAGGCAAGAAATCAGGAAACGCTTTTGCAAGACTTGCAATAAAGACATGCAATATATAACGAATCATGCTGAAATATAACGCAGTCGTTTGATATACCGCCTACCCAAATATGCGCAATGTGGGTGATAGATGACCTGCTAGCATGATAATATGTGGTTATAAATACTTTGTATCTTAACGTGCTGTATGAAATGAAGGTGAAATTTTTCATTGGTCGTGCTCCTTTTCAAAAACCAGTTATAAGATTCAAGATTACAAAATCGAACAGAAGAGTGACATCACTATTTTTCTTTAATTGTTCCTAAATGCAAACAATCTAATTACTGATAAATCATAAATCCAAGATGCTTGACCAAAAAAAGTGCTGATATCAGTTGGCATCCACTCAAATTTTAGAGTATTTATTTTCTATAATATTCGTTTATGCAGCGGCTCACTGCTTCAAAAGTGCAACTCATTAGGGGGAAAAACTCAAAGCAGTTAAAAAACAGGGATGCAAGTTCAGCTATTTATTAATTTGCTTTGAACTTCCTGGCTTCAGAAACCGTCAGAAGTGTTTTGAACTATTACTTCTCCTATGTGTCAAATCTAGGGATACACTACTTCCACGAATGGTGGTTTTTCTTTTGTAAATGCCCTTTATGCGAGTACAACTTAATCTGGAAACGCTATCATCCAGATATTGTAAGCAGCTGCACGAAACTCATGAGCATCCACGTCTTCAGGTCAATAAACCAATATGCACCAAAAGAAATGGGAATATCCTAGAAAGAAGACGAGGCAGGACTACCGAAGCTGCCATCAGACTGACATGTGGAACGCAATTTGACCGATTGCAACAGCTGGATGTGTGTACCGCTAACTACCACATAACGACAGACGACAGCATCAATTCTCCAATACATACAATTCTTGACATAATACCACAATACCATTATAGTGCCCCTTAGATAAATTCTTGAAGAATTGCTCATAGTCAGCAACAAAAGTTAGGGTTAACTTTTCCCACAGGGTTTGCCAGCTGTAGGATTTACTACCCGCCGACATCGCAACCTTTCCATCAGTAGAAAAAGTGAGGGGAAGACTAGACCATAATGAAAAACAGAACAGTAAATCTGTAGAGGATGTAAGCTGGCTCTAGGAGACTGCACTGGTATTTCAAAAATCCTACTTTACTAATCTTTAAATACTTCACTGTACTGTAAATTTTGTTGATGCGTCTATATCGAAAAGTTTCTCTCATCCCTTTTTATTTTACAACTGTTATATGCTCTTGCACCCTCTGTTTGACTTTTCTTACACCCATCACTCTCATTTTAAGCATAGTTTATTTAGCATACTTATTCATCCAGATTCCCTATGAACTAACTACCACATTTTCTAGTGGATTTATAGACCTAACTATAGGATTGCCTAGTGAATCCAGATTCGCGAACCCCAGCCACTCCAAAGCCATGTTATAAATCATTTGCTCCTTCTAAAATAAATAATTATGCCTCCTAGCATCGCTTTCAGCAAAACTGTGGCGGTCAAAAGCAAATGCAATCAGCAAAAGACTCAGAGGCGAGTTCCAACAATAAGATCTATACGAGCGTGTCGAAAAGATATTAAATATTTTTTCATTATTGTGGGTTTATTTCTCTCAACGAAATCTTGAAGGATTACACGGTACTCATTACTGGTTTATCGCAGAGAGGGTTTTATAAATCTGTACGTTATAATATTTGGCTGAGATGTCTGATGATGATACCACCGATGGGCCTCATGTATTGTCAGAGTCGGAAGCACAAGATGTCCAACATTTGCAGGAGATAGCCGGAGGAATAGGATACGTTGATGCTTTAAAGCTTTTGGAAGAAAGTTCTTGGAATTTAGAGGTGCGTTCCAAAGCCTAATATTTTATTTCAAGCGTGCTGTTCATAAATTAATGGGATTTGAAGACTCGAGTGCTAGACATCGGAGCAGCAACTCGCGAGTGCCTTCTGTCCCTCACGTATGTAGCGTTAATTCCAAGTTATTCCTCAGGTCGAATTAGTTCCACCAAATCAACGAGTATTAAGAGCAAGAGATAGTGCTCATAGTTGGCTATGGTCTACTGCTCTGTTGCTTCTAGAGCCATTTCGGGTAGGATACAATTTATTTGCCGGAATTTTCAAGTTTTTCGGTAAGTTTTGTTTCTCACGTCATTTGTTATTTTCTATATATATGAGGAATTGATCATCGTGGTGAAACAATAGCTGTATTTTTTTAAAACAATATTTAACTTAAAAAGCGTAAACATGTTTTGGGTAGTGTAATTTTAAGCCTTTAGGCTTCATTTATGAATCTCCGTCGTGCATAACTATGGCGAAAACAAAGTTTGTGTTAAACTACTGAATTCTACCATGAAAACCGTCTGTTTTAAGTGCACTAATGATGTAGCTTAGAGCTTTGTCAGTCTTTGGGGAAACAAAGATATGTAATCGATTCGCAACTAAATCTTTATTCATTTACAATGTGTTTCTGCAAGAATAACCAATCTGTCCTTAAAAAATGTAGGCAAATTCTGTCTCTAGCTTAGTGCAGGTACAATAAATCCTTTTTAGTGTATCGCCTTCCTCTCTAAGTGTAATCTAGTTTCCTGAATGTATGCATTGCAAAGTGAGAATGATCGAATTACTTCACTGAAACCGACTTCGAGAACCCATCGTACATACTGTTCGGTCGATTGTTACAGTTAGAAGTGCAGCCGTGTCTTCGCCACTCTAATTTAGCCAATAAGTCTTAAGAAAATAATTAAGATTGCCAAAATATTTGTAACTGTACATTGACGCAATTATGTAACAACCCATTTGCCCAAAATAGATTTCTCACATGTCAGGTTATGAGCGATACTTGCTGTTTATTAGCTAATCATGCTAACCAGTTGCGCAGACTAAAATAGGTCGAGTGAGATTCAAACCAAGGTTCTAGTGGCTGAAAGTCAAATGCTTAATCCAGTAAGTCACATCACTCATTGAAGTAAACAAGAATGAACAAGTCAACAATAGTGCCTCGAGAAAACCATTGCTTATATCAGCCTTTCAGGTTAAGGTAAATGATTGGTGATTCAAAGTCAAGCCCCAAAGCTAGTGAGCGAGATCATATCTTAGTCACTAAACCATGCCTCAACAGTTGTGCCTATCTTAAAATTTGTAAGGACATGCAAGAACCCCACGTTGGAATCTTTTCAATGCCTCGATCTAATCAGTAGGTACCACATCCTCTTCTACCAGAAGCACAGTTAAATTTGAGTACTTGGGCGGGAGAAGGTATAAGCAAATTATTACTTCCATATAATTAAACAGCCTATCTTGTATCTCCTTCGTTAGCTTAACAGCGATACTAAAAAGTCTTATCGGCTTTTTGTTAGTCCTTTGTTGTTTCCTCTAAGTAGAGAACTAACTGTGGTAGGTTAACAATCTCTGTGGTCTCATATCTGGAACGTCGAATAGCACTATGATTAACTCATTAACTGCATCAATGAATACTGTTAAACAACTGAGGTATACTTTGTCACTGGAAAAAGTTTAATCCAAGGTTTTGATTAGTGTGAAACTGTCTCCGTTGTGTCAACTGACCCTACCAGAAGAGCACCAGCAATAATAATATTTATAGCCTCGGCGTTGTACTTTATTAGGTAGGTTTTCAATCCGGAAAATGGAAACCTCATCAACCTTCACAATTATCTTACTATGAAAGAATAGTGTGTTCTGTTTTTTATTTTCCAAGCTAATAGCACTATTAGACCGTGCACATGTCTATTCCTTCTTGTTGCTCTCTGATTTCTGTGATTACTATCTAGAAATGTGACATTGATTCATATGAAAATATAGGGTTTCACATTACCTTGATCAGTTTATCCGTTGATTTCCATAAGCAGACCTATACATCATTCTGATATGGCTTCACCTTCGTGGTACTTTGATGTATTTTGGTCCTCTCATTTGCAAATGACAGTCAAACGTCGATTCTGTATATTTATAAGGTATCTAAACATTGCACCGCCTTCCTCCTTGAGGCAGTGCTATTTAGGCAGTTAACTTTTGTAAAATGTAAACTGATAGTCAATCTGCAGAGGTTAGTTAAGTTAAATAGTGTCTATCTGTCTGTCTGTATGTATTTATGTATGTTTTCAACAAAGAACTTTGCACCGATTCGCAGCAGTTCAAGTTGCCACACTCCATGTAGCACACAAACCAAGAGAAATTAAAAGAAATGCAACATATAGACAGTAAACAGGGATATGAGACAAAAGGAATAGTAATAACGAAAAACAATATTGTTTCATTGGAAATTATAAGTCACAAGGAGTAAATGCATCTGCGCCATTGAGAACGATTTTGAGTCATATCACCGATTGTCTCCAGCTGGTGATTGGTGTTTACCGTCCCGAGGACCCCAACCAGGAAGTCTACACCTTCCTACGTGGCTGGCTTAAACTAACTGTTGTGAATTTCATTGACTGGTGCCATGTTTTGGTTTGACCGCCGCTAGCTCTTTTCCAGTCTGACCCTATGTCAGCTAACATTGCTCGTCGAGGAAGGTGATGGCTAGGCATACGTAGCACATGTCCTAACCATCTCAGTTGATGTAACTTCACAGCCTCGTCGATTGATTTCCCCTCCTTACCTAGCACTCGACACCTACCTTCAGTATTGCTTACCCTATTATACCACTTCACATGGGAGACAGAACGCAGGCACCTATGATCAAAGACAGCTAGCTTTTTCATGTCCTCCACTCTCAATGGCCACGTCTCACAGCTGGCCATAAAGGAGGACGGAGCGGACTGCTGAGCAGTACACACGTCTCTTTTTCGATAGCCGGATATCACGTCTACGCCAGAGACGGCATAAACTGGCATATGCGAAACGAGCCTTCTGTATCTGTGCTGAGATTTCGCTAGCGATCAACCCGTTGGGGCTGATGCAACTTCCCAAATAAGTAAAGTGGTCAACGTGCTCCACCACTTCACTCCCTATTTCTAAGCTAGGAGTCAATGTAGTTCAGTCCTGTAGCATCATCTTACATTTGACAGCAGGAGCAAATCACATGCCAAACATTCGAAGATTGCTGCTCAGCTCAAGGTGTTCAGAAGACGCTGGATTTAGTCAGCGTCTTCACCTAGAAGGCCTATATCATCCGCATGCATATTCTAAGTCAACGAGATTATTCCCTGCTAACAAGTCGATCCTTGAGCCGCTGAAGTCAGTTAGGGTTGAGTCCATTAGTACATCTATGATGAAATTGAACAGAAACGGGAAGAGTGGGTGATCCAATGGCTCTTACTAACTTTTGGTTTTAGGTTATTAGCAGCTTTTACAGCTAACTGTATGTTATGCCAGGCTACCTCAGGGAAAGTCCTGCTGTGAACCTCATATATACGTTTCGCTGTTTCCTTCTTAAATGGGAACTCAGTGTATCGATCCAGTTGGGGACGTAACTGTTTGACTGCCAGCAATTTCTTATGTCCATTTATTCGCAAGCGTAAACGTGCGCGGACTAGAGCGTAATTGTAGTCTACGCCCGTGTTCCAGAAGGAGCGGCATTTTTCTACTGACCCTTGCCAACGATACCCTATGGCTATGTGGTCTATCTGAGTCCAGCGTTGATTTCGTGATGGATGTCGCCAGGTTACGCAGTGTCTCTTTGTGTCTAAAGTTAGTGCTGACTAGGAAGAGATGATTATCTGAACAGAACTGTAGAAGACGATCACCGTTGTCGGTTCGTCGGCAGGGAACTCCATACGTGCCACCTACATACTTCTCAGTCTGGTACAACTTCCCTACTTGGGCATTGAAGTCGCCTGCTGAAACAATTATACCTGAACGTTTTGCTTTTTGCAGTAAATTAGACAGTTTCAGGTAGAAGTTATTCTTTAGTTCATCCGAACTGCAGTCTGTCGCGGCATAAGCGGAGACTACGAAAAGACAACGACGGGTAGCGCCGTCTTTCCTTCTTTTAACGGACCCATTCAGACGGACCGCACACATACGACTATCTACTGGTATCCAGTCAAGAAGTGATTTTTCTGCCCTAACACTCAAAGCTATCCCTACACATGCGAGCCCTCAAGAACTAGCTGAGGGGTCTCCTGATACCCTTATAGTGAATTTTGTAGATTCACCTTGTTGGTTGGGTGAAGTTAAGTGAATGACTATACTCTGGTCTTGTGTGCGTGTCTCCGAAACACAACATACATCCATGGCTCAAGATGCCAGATTTCTTGCTAGTGATGCCTGTTGTCCGATTGGGCAGAGTCTTGACGTTGAATCCTTCTATATGAGGTTGGTGACGCGGCTTTAAGAGGCGGTCGGGGGTGTTTCTATGGCTCTCACCGTTATTTGTGGTCACAGAGCTAAGTGAAGATGACTCAGTAGCCTGAAGAATAGTACCGACTGTAGTAGGAAAGTAAGATGATAGTGATGTGGGTAAAGGAGAATGATGCTCAGGAAGGCTTCGTGTGATTTTGGAATTGTGTGGACGGTTGTTTCTTCCCGGTTCCCCACACCGTGGAAGTCGGTTGATTCTTGAGGTACCTGAACCAGAAAGAGGGGTGGTGTTGCATGACCTCAGAGCCCAGGGGACAACTGCTTGAGGCCGGTCACACACGGCCTGTATGAACTGGTTTCTGGGGTTGGTTCCGTATTAGTAAACTTACCGCCGGTTACGGACCGCAGTAGGGTGAGTCGGGATGTACAATTGTTGGGGTCGACCTTTTCTAACCCCCTATCTCAAGAGTGGAGAGACAGCATAGCTGGCACGCTGGTCATCTGAGGGAAGCACCTCACTGCTGTTACATCCCTGTTCCCCAGCAGTACGACTTTGTCCAAAACCCCCCTAGCAAAGTATAAAAACAATTCTTACACTAAGCTGGTAACTGCTTTTAGTCTAGTCGTTATCCTATCAACCTTCCTGGCATGGTAGGACCTGCAGGAACAATAGTTCCAGCCAGTGTAGCTTGTTGGGTCATTGCGATGTACAAGCCCGACCACCACGTCAGGGTAGCAGCTACTGGTCGGGAGTTAAATAGTGGCTCACATTTATTTATTTATCATTTATTTAAACGCATTAAAACTTGGTACAATATGGCACCAAGAAGGATGCGCCACACAATAATAATAAAACAACGTAGATGAAAAAAAAGAAGGCAGGAAAAGAAAAAATATATATAAGTAGAGAACGAATAATGAACTTCATCTGGAAGGAAAGCACTCATTCTTAACAGGTTCAAACAGTGTTCGTTAACTATCATCGGGAATGGAAGAAAGAAGGAAATCGCAACACATTCGCCATTGATTACGATTCTTGGCCATATCCGATAACGTTTCGAGCCATCGATTTGAGCTATCTCTCAGACCCCAACCAGGGAGTCGTGACACACCAACCGATGCTAATCTAGCACAAATATCCTTCATCCCACGACGCCACGTCATGGGCTGACCACCTCTCCGCCTTTTCCAACCCGTCCCAGGGCTAGCGAACAGAGACCTGTACGGAAGCCTCTGGGGTGACATTCGCAGCACATGTCCAAGCCACCGGAGCCGGTGTTTCCAGATGACGACATTCAATGAATGGTGATCTCCACTGTGTTCAAACACACGCCGCCGAACCTCAGAATTACTCACGCGATGATGCCATCGAACGCAAGCAATCCTGCGGAGACAGCGGTGATCGAACACGCAGAGTCGCCTCACATCCTCAGCTCGGAGAGGCCAGGTTTCACAGGCGTAGAGCAGCGCAGCCCGCACCGAAGCATTGTATACCCGACCTTTGACAGCCAGGCTAACGTCGCGACGGCGCCAGAGGTGGCTCAAGTTGATGTATGCCACCCTAGCTTTCATTATACGGTTAGAAATCTCATCCGTCACCCCTCCGCCAGCACTCACACAACTACCTAGGTACACAAACTTATCGACAACTTCAAGCGGTTCACCCGCAAGAGTGAGTGCAGGTACAGGCTCCTGCCAATCTTGTAACAGTACTTTGCACTTAGATGGCGCAAAGCACATACCATACTTACAGACACTGATCGCCAACTGATTAAGTGCGATTTGGGCAGCCTGCATGCTATCGCACAGTAAGACGATATCGTCTGCACACTCGAGGTCGAAAAGTCTATCTCCAGGTAGCAGATCTACACCACCTTCACGCATATCCTTCAGAGCTGACTCCAGAATGTCATCGATGGCAAAGTTAAAGAGAAATGGGGAGATTGGGCAACCCTGTCTAACCCCACTGTTGGTTGGGAACAGTGATGATAGTTGGTTGTATGCCCTCACTCTACCTGAGGTGTTTCTGTATAGGGCTTTCAAGATGTTAACAAATTTCTCAGGTACACCTCTCTCTAACAGACAGTTCCAGAGCACAGTTCTGTCCAACGAATCGAAGGCAGCCCTAATATCAAGAAACACAACGATCGTTGGCCTGCAATACGTGTGGCGGTGTTCCAACAACTGACGAAGGGTGAACACATGATCAATGCATCCACGACCTGAACGAAACCCAGCCTGCTCTTCGCGAATCAATCCTTCGCGTATTTTGCACAGTCTGCGAAGCATGACAGCAGCCAATATTTTAGACGCAACTGGTAACAGACTGATACCCCTATGGTTGGCACACGAATTACGTCGACCCTTTTTAAAGATGGGGACGATAATGGCTTCGTTCCACATTGATGGTACGCTCTCTGTCTCCCACACTCTCCTGAACAACCCAGTTAGAGCCATTATGAGAGTCTCGCCACCATCTTTAAAAAGAGCCGGGGGTAATTTGTCTGGGCCGGGCGCCTTATGGCGTTTCAGAACTTGGAGTTCCTTACGGACCTCCGCTTCGGTGGGTGGGTCGGTACTAACCGACCAAGGAGCACTCGGGCTAATGATAGTAGACAATGAAGCTGGTGGCCAGCTGAACTGCTTCCCGAAGTGCTCTGCCCAGCGTTCCAGGCGTCTCTTCAGGCTGGTAATTGGAGTGCCATCTGCCTCACAGACCGTCTCGCTGACACCTTGTTTCTTGCTGCCGGTGGCTCGTATGAGTTGGAACAGCTTCCGACTGTTGCCAGATGCAGCAGCTGACTCCATCTCATACGCACGTTCTGACCACCAGGCTTCGCGGTCCTTACGTAAACACTGTCTAATCTTGCGCGTGAGCGCCTTTCGCTGATTGTTGTATTCACTGCCAGCCGGAATGGACCGGCGTTCATCCATGAGTTGCAAGGAACTCGCAGAAACCCAGTGGTTGTTAGCGGAGCATTCTTTCAAGCCGCAAGCGGCTACACTCGCCTTTTGCATGGCACCTTGCACATGAAGCTAGTGTTCATCTATACTACTTGGGGGGTTGCTGGCAAGCATTGTTTTCAACTCGTTCTGATATTTCAAAGAAGTAGCAGGTGCTACTAGTTTGCTCACATCAACGCTTAGACGACGGTTTTTACGAACCCCACCAAATCGCAAGACGAACTTGGCACACACTAACGCATGATCGGAGTCCAGGCATGTACTCCAGAAGGAGCGACAGTCTTATATGCATCCTCGCCACCGGAAACTGACCGCAATATGATCAATCTGAGTCCAAGCTTGCTTCGCAGAGGGAGGACGCCAGGTAGCGCTACGGCAATGGCTGTGCCGGAAGTTGGTGCTGGCTAGAAATAGGTTGTGATCCGCGCAAAGCTGCAGAAGACGGTCCCCATTATCTGACCTGCGACCATGTAGTCCCCACTGACCACCTAGACGACTCTCCTCTGAGCTTAGACGCCCAACCTGTGCGTTCAAGTCCCCAGCTAGCACTACGATATCCCTCCGACCCGCCTGTTTCAACAGATCGCTCAGTTGGTAGTAAAACTCATCCTTCATTGCATCCGGGCTGCAATCCGTCGGTGCATAGGCAGAGACAACAAATAGACACCGCCTATCTGGCCTACTACTCCTTACTTTCGTGCAGTTCTCTCTGTGCAGCAGTTCTCTCTGTTCTCCTTTATGGCTGTGAGACATGGCCATTGGCAGTGAAAGATTTGAAAAGGCCGGCAGTCTTTAACCACAAATGTTTGGGTTCTATCCGCCATGTCAAGTGGTATATAGTGAGTATTACTAAGGTTACGCGTGGTGTCATTTAAGGAGGGGACGTCGGAAACGTTTATTTTAAATTATTTGTATAATGTTCTATACTTCCTTCCTTTGAGTTCATCTTCTAACCTGTTTGTTACTTAACTTCATCTGCTATGAAAACCTACCTTCGGTTTTCATGTCATTGAACTAGTTTTACTTCAGTTAACACTTATGGTCAGGAAAGACATGTCTGTCACATGTTGCAGGTAATTCAGACGATGTAAACCTTCATCTTCAGTTGCAACATAGTTTCAGTCATGAAATAAAACAACGCACTACTACTCACCCACTGATAAATAGCTAGATGTTGTGTTTGTTGGCGGATGCTTCACTGGCATGTGCTGTTGTTGCTGAGATTTTGTCACCTACCACTAGGGTGGGTGCGAATTCACAAAGAAATGAAGCAGTAAGTAAATCCAATCACTTCGCCATGTATCCACTAGCCAGCCTAGTTTTCTTGCGCTTGTGTTTCACGAGATCCACTTTTTCTTCGAATGATAATAGATGTTAGGTTTTTAAGCACTATCGATGATCATTATAAGAAATCTCATTCTCTTGTAAATCATTATTAATGACGATCTCGACCATTTGGTTGAAACTGGCTCTCATAAACTAGGAAGAGATTAAATTAGCTGTAGGTCATCTTATCTACCATCAAATAAGTTCTGCGTACATACACCTGCTGTTGTCTGAAATGAAATGTTCTGTGTATCGTGATTCAGGAAAATGTTTTCTGTACATTGCCTGGTGTTTATAATACTCGAAAAGTTCATTAATTTCAATTGTCCAACTTGTAGCAAGATATTTTTCATATTTTAATTACGAGACGATTTGTGGAACCGTATATGCCTTATACTTGTTCACCTTTCTCTTTCTTCTTTTATCAAGCTTCTTTCCTTTGGTCTGACCCGCGAAGTCGTAAGTTTCACTGCGCTAATTATATCTGAACTTGTCAACCTATAGCTTATTATGCATCTTAACATTTCAGTTTAACTTCCTATTGTATAGTAATAATTCATTCGGTATATATATATATAAATTTTCGAAACTAGGTTTATTTACTACAGCTTGCCCTGGCATCTATGTTGTAGGTGTGAATGTTAGCTGTGATTACTGGTACCTATCATAGTGTGTCGTCTCTTCTTGTATCCTTTTTGTTATGATATGAGTCTTGTAAATGCCGTGTCGTAGGAATTCTTTGCTAGTAGATGGTCTATTTTATCTCCAATTTCGTGTTCCTTTGGGATGAATACCAAATAATGGTTTAATAACTTTAAAGAGAAGCAACATGTACATACATTCGTTCGCCTTGTGGTGTATCATACATGTATTCTCTGGATCGGGTTGTTAACCTAACGCATCTAAGACGAAACCAACGCAGGGGATGTTTGCTTTTCCGTTTATTTGTGGGTAGAAGAAGAAATTCATTCGGCAAAGAAATATCTTCATAACAATTACATTGTCCAAGTGTGCCGTTGCCTTTATATTTCTTACCATTGCAGTCAATCATAGTAAAATGTCTTAGTCAACACATATACAATGCAAAGTGAGGATGAGTGAATGTTGAATTTGACGAAATACAACATATGCTATTCAATGGTGAAAGTGATTTTAACATGCGTAAACTGGGTCAAATGCTTTCAGAAAGTATGGAACCTTATAAGTAACTATGACAAAATGTCAAGCAAACTGAGATAAAAATCAGTTTAACAGGATATTGTTAATGTTGAGGTAAACAAAAACGTCCCAAAAAAGCCTTAATTTACTTAGTTGTAGATTTTATGTGTGTAATATTAGTGCTTCATTGAAATTTTTCGTGTTGCTCAGTTAAGCCTTGCAAATTATTCTTTCCAATGAATAACAATAGTTAAGAAATTAGTCCATTTTGTAAATTAGGATAGTGTTATTCGAAGGCATAGATTATCTGAAAGATGTGATGTATTTGCGCAATACATTTCGAACAATCTGATCATACATTTACTTGTCAAGTCAATTTATATGGAAAAATGAAGAGCAATTAAAGTACACAAAGTGACAGAGAGAATTTAAGAATAATAAGGATAACTAACAAAATATTTGGTTATCCAATCAGATAAGGATTACCAAGGTAGGTTAAAAGTATTAATAAATTGTTTTCGAACACAGAGTGGGGGAGGTGGCTTAAGTTTTTGAAAAGCTATAGCCTCGGCGTGTTTCAATAAGCGCCCTCCACCATTTTTATAGATGACCTTAAAGCTGTGTTAACACCAATCTTATGGTTATTATCGATTAGATGTTTGGCTGTAGACGAAGTTGGTAGTCTGCCACCTGCGTGTATTGATTCTCTAAAGTTCATCGGTCTTCCTAACCATTTCGGAATATGCTCTCCCATCCTTACATGTAAAGCGCAATTACTCCTCCCTGTATGTGTCCACACACTTAAATTGGTAAATAGTGTGAGATGTAACATAATCATTTGTGCACTTTTTAGGTTTGTAGTGGAGCATATTTTTGGCTTTTTCAACGATTACAAGCCGGACTGCATAATAGGTCCTACAGGTGACCGAGTTTGATCTCCGCCTTAAAATCCTATATATTTCCCCATTGTATAGTAATTTGATGAAGACATCTTTCTTAGGGGTGGAATGCATTGTAGGTTTAAAGCCTAATTGACTTCTACTTCTGTTTAAAAAAATTAAAGGATATCCGTTTTCAACAAGAGTATCAATCATTATCTTATTTTCCTTTTCTATAACATTACATAGGCTGAATCCTCATGAATAAGCATTTCACTAAGCCTCTCTTATACTGTAGCAGACAGAAGCTGTGAAAATTTGTGTTGCCCTGTCCAAGTAGGCTTTCTGTAAATGGGTCCTCTTATTGAACCACTGGACAGGCTTAACCCCGTACAGAATCATATAAGTCTTACGTGAGAGGAAGAAAGTCGCAACCAGCTTGGATATTTAGATATACTTCTGAGTTGAAGAGACGATGGTTCAAGTGATTATGTTACATCTCACACTATTTACCAATTTAAGTGTATGGACACATACAGGGAGGAGTAATTGCGCTTTACATGTAAGGATGGGAGAGCATATTCCGAAATGGTTAGGAAGACCGATGAACTTTAGAGAATCAATACACGCAGGTGGCAGACTACCAACTTCGTCTACAGCCAAACATCTAATCGATAATAACCATAAGATTGGTGTTAACACAGCTTTAAGGTCATCTATAAAAATGGTGGAGGGCGCTTATTGAAACACGCCGAGGCTATAGCTTTTCAAAAACTTAAGCCACCTCCCCCACTCTGTGTTCGAAAACAATTTATTAATACTTTTAACCTACCTTGGTAATCCTTATCTGATTGGATAACCAAATATTTTGTTAGTTATCCTTATTATTCTTAAATTCTCTCTGTCACTTTGTGTACTTTAATTGCTCTTCATTTTTCCATATAAATTGACTTGACAAGTAAATGTATGATCAGATTGTTCGAAATGTATTGCGCAAATACATCACATCTTTCAGATAATCTATGCCTTTGAATAACACTATCCGAATAACAATAGGCTTTAAGGAGTGATTTCATATAGTGTTCACTAAAGAAGAATGTTATGCGTGTGTATTTATTCAACCTAACCATGTCGTTTTGCAGTGTGTTACTACACTACTGCATGCCCTATGCAATGAGTTTCATGAAAGCGGGTAAAATAAGAGTTTTATGTACGTGTGGATATAAATGATAAGCTATCCCGTTTGTAGATGGACAGTATCCTCTATTTCTTCTTCTTTTCGCGAGAGTCCACCACTTTTAACACAATAAAGACATGAATTTTGATGAGATGAACAGGATTCGGTTATATGAGTAACTATATGAATGTAGTGTAGTTTACTATGTTACTGTCTTTCGTAACTGCTCAGAATTTATGAATGTGTCGCTACTTAGTGGCCAATCAAGTATACTTCAATGTAATTGAAGTAAAATAACACCAATAGCAATATCAACGATAGGTTAACAGTGTATTTTAGATAACCACTAACTCACTATCGTCAGGGTCAGATACACGTAGTTTAGACTCTTCAGTACTTTTAGGTGCATTGCTTTATATATAACTATTATTTAGCTTGAATTTTTTGCTTAATTCCTTTACATTTTATAAAAACAAAATAATCGAGCAAAGAATATTCTTTTCGATAAATTCCTCTTCCAGGCTCTACAATTATATATATGTTTTTATACACAGAATATTTTAAATTAGTAGTTATTAACAATATTAGCGTTTTTTCAAATAATATCGATTTGTAAAGTATGATCAATGCTATTGCAGTTCATTAATGATGCTTAAATTATAATAATAATAAAGATATAACAGCGGATAGAATATCAACTAAAATTAGGGAAATTTCACAAAATTCTGGATTATTCAAACCTGGATGGCCAAGGTAATGATAATGACTGGACTAACTTCTTCTGGGTGCATAAATTAGGCTTATTAATATGAATCCCCACAGCCTCCGCAATATTTAGAAGTCGAACTCTTAAAGCGAAATTGAGATTCATAGGTATGCGGTAAATGACCCTGAAAGCATGATTAACGTCAATCTTGTGTTCTGTCTCCACAAGATGCGCCAGAATAGCACTGCGAATAGATTTTGTTTGACCTTTGCTTAACCAGGCAGGGTGATGTTCGGAAATTCGACGAGAAACACGCCTAATTGTACGGCCTATGTAACTGGCTCCACAGGAGCAGTTAAATTGGTAGATACACATGGAAGAGGCGAAATTAGGCAGTTTGTCTTTTATTCCCGAACGCAGAAGAGGAGTGGTTTTGAAGATACAGCGCAATTGAGCAGCAGGGAATGTTCTTTTTACCGCATTTCTGAGGCGATGTGTTAGTATTTCACTTGTGTTGTCTCCTAGGAACTGCATCTGCAAGAACAAGGATTTCTTTGGAACTGTTGGTACCTTGGATTGTTTTGGTTTTAGATTCATATTCCTATCAATAAACTTTTCCGGATAACCATTCTCACTTAGCAAACGTTTAATATTGTTGAGCTCCTCGTCAAGACATTCATCCGAGCAAATCTCTCTTGCTCTGTGGACCAGGCACTTTATCAGATTGCGTTTGTATTTCAAGGGCACAAAGCTGAGAAAATGTGTGTACTGGCCGGTTGATGTAGGTTTCCTATAAACATTTCTTCGTATTGTGCCATCCTCTTTTCTGGTCATAAGGACGTCTAGAAATGAAATACTAGAGTCTTTTTCTTTCTCAATAGTAAAATTTATTGCAGGATGTACCTCATTAAATTTATCCATGATGTCCTTTGCCTCATTTTCGTTCTTCATAATCAAAAAGTATCATCCATGTATCGACAATAAAATTCGAGTCATTAATAACATCTCAACTTTTTACATTTTGACTCACCAGTTCACCAGCAGTATAAATGTTATATCATGTTATTCGTGTTCATTATTGTAATATACATTTCGCTTATTATTCGTATAGAAGTCACTGATCCAATAGGCGATGTAAGGAAATTTATTCAACATTTCAAGACAACTTATGGACATGCCAATATTGGTAGTAATTTAACTTCAGCTGAAGATTCCGCTGTGAATTCATATCCACCCTTCTTCGAGGGGACTTATGCGGATGCTGTTCAAGAGGCCAAACAAAGTTTACGATTTCTGATTGTTTATCTGCATGCAGATTCACATGAAGATACTCATCGATTTTGCAAGTAATTTTCTTGATAATTTGTTTAGTTTCTTTTATTAATACTAGGTAAGCATATGATATAAAATTAATTAGTTAGTTAGTTAGTCAGTAAGTTGATTTACAGAAAGCCCTACTGTAAGCAAATTTTGTGTTTTTGAGCACTTATTGGGAGAAAATATCTAAAAATGCAAAAAAGCATTCCTTCCGAGATATGGGTGGGTGTTAACATCTGGTAGAGTATCAGTGCAATTTACTATCAAGGTATTCAAGTTACAGTTGACTTTCTGGGGATAAATAATTTAAACAAATTCTTCACTCACTGGTTATCAGTTTAACGGCATTGTCCTAAATGCTTCTCGTATTCTTTTGGTCATGTATGAAGTGTTATCACGCAAAACATGCTACCATATTGAGTGTATTTCTATGTAACTATCAGCCAGCATTCAGCACAAACGATCTGAAAGCATCCAAATGTAGGCACAATAACCTCAAAAAATGTATGAAGTTTTTCCAACTCTATCAGGTCTTGACTCGTAACTACTAAACTCTTCAATATCAAACTATTGCCTATTTGCAGATAAATGACATCTGAATCCATTTATTTTTACAATTTTTTTTTACCGTAAATGTTTCTGATAACACAACCACACACGATAAATCAAGCTTTTCTATTTGTCTGAAAAGTGACTGAAAGTTAAAGCCAATAAGGAGCGAATTTGTCGACTAATGCTGCCTTTTTGTGGCTCACTTCTCTAAATTAGTCTTGCTATCATATGAACCGCATGAAGTCAAAGCTCACAAAATATAACCAAGTCATTTCATCCCATGTGCGTTTAAAACTTCATCCACAAAGTAATGTTACATAAAATTCTACAATAAACCCAGTAATTGCTTATTTATCCATCTAAGCATGAAGCAATACAATATCCCTTTCTGATTTATCATCAAATGGAATTCACCGTAAACTTATGTATCATTTTCAACGAAGTGTTTCAGTGGTAAAATAAATCTGGAGGCCAAATAAATACCCCATTCCGCCTATTGACCATTTGAAGATCATCCACACTAATTATTAACAAAAATGATATTAATCTAAAGATTTTGTCTGTCACAGTGGTGACAATCTGTAATGGGTTATGTTATTATTATTAGTAGTAGTATATTATTTTCTTTCGTTTTGTTTATTACTGCTCCCGTCACTTGAATAATGATACTAGATTTTAACCACTTCATTGTACTTTTTCAGGGAAACCCTACAATCTGAAGAAGTTTTGCGATTTCTTCGGAATTCAGATGAGCTTTTATTTTGGGGTTGTAATATTGAATCACCAGAAGGATATCGTGTATCACGGACTCTTCGAGAGCACACGTATCCATTTATGGGAGTCATTGGCCTGACAAATATACCAAGTAAGAAATAATATTCACTTGCCATACTCGATCACATCTTGAGTATTTGTGACAGGTTAAATCTATATTTACCAGTAGATTTATGTTGAAAAGTGTTATATGATGACAATCTCATCTGTTGTAGTTTTCACAGCTGTGTTTACTCTCCCTTACAGTTTCCATGTATTATTACTTCACAGACAAAGTCCAACAAACATCAGATACATGGTTCTGTGATTTATCAAATATACTTGATATATACTCTTCTGACTTATAATTAAATTGCACAGATTTATTTAAAACTTATGCATAAGTCATTCGTATCGGTTCATCTTTTATCAAATTGGGCTACTACTTGTGTTCTTAAGTTCACTCAGACCTTTAGGTATTTCGAGTTGGTCGTCCAAGGGTGACTTGGAGGAGGTCATGTGAAGAGGAGATGAAAGCATGTGGGCAGACTTGAAGCCAGGTGAAAACTCTAGCAGAGAGCCGAACGCAGTGAAGACGCGCGGCTGAAGCCCTATGCTCCTCTAGGAATTAAAGGAAATAATAATAATAAATTTAGGTATTTCATTGCAGTAGATGTTGAGTTCTTACAAGACACTAACCTCCAACAGATTAAGTACGAGTTGAATTGTCTGTGTTGTTGTTCGGTAAGATGATGTCTGTACATTCACTGTGTAACAGTCTTTCTCCGGCTGGCAAATCTAAATCATCACCGCACCCATACTTTCAGAGCCAACTCCAGAATACCGTTGGTGATAATGTTAAAAAATATAATAGTAAGATTTAGCAACACTGTCTAACCATATTCCTGGTTGCGACAACCCTATTTGTGGTTTTCTTTCACAAGGATTTCAGTCCATTGATAAACTCAAAAAATCAATCTTGTATGATCTGTATAAGTTACGGATGCAATATTCCACTCTCAAAGGACAACATAAACTACTGACGGTACATTTTATGTAAATGCTCAAATGATCTTCAATTACTAGTCACCAAGTTTCCAACAGCTACTTAAATAAAATATGGAGGTTTTCATACAGCTGGTTCTATTTAATGGTTTGAATAAAGAAGGAACGAACATATTCGCGGAATAATACGAGCTCGTTTTATTTCGTGGATTCTTTGCAACTGTGTACATCCTAAACAAAATCAAATCGTCAATTGCAAGATTTATGAGCATAATTTTTACAATAACTTCGAGTTATGGATAGAAAGTATAGGCAACATAATTTCAAAGATGATGTAAGTAGGCGAATTATTTAGTGTTAATAGTGTAACTTTATATAATAATTAGGCAAAGGGAATAGAATTCACAATTGATATGATTATGAACAATAAATTTTGTTCGAAACGTCATCCAGTAAATAATACTGTTTCACTGTGTGATATACCTAACAAACAAACTAATATGGAATTATTTACTACCACAGTGCCCAAGTTTTACACATATAGGAATAGAATTCTAATTATTATATAAATAGTTACAGTATTAACACCGAATAATTCGTCTGCCTACATCATCTTTGAAATTATGTTGCCTATACTTTCTATCCATAACTAGAAATTATTGTAAAAAGTATGCTCATAAATTTTGCAACTGATAATTTGATTTTGTTTAGGATGTACACAGTTGAAAAGAATCCACGAAATAAAGCGAGCTCGTATTATTCCGCAAATATGTTCGTTTTTAGTTTATTCAAAATACAGAGACTTTACTACATACTCCTACCCAATTCATAACTTTGTTACTGAAATATGTTGTGAGGATTTTTAGTTCATTCCTATTTCATATGTATATTGTGTATTACTCTTAAAATATAAGTACTTTTTGTAATAATTCAGCTTATAGTTCAAGTACTGCTTTGTTGTGCACTGCTTAGTGGGTACTTATATTCATACTTTCCATTTTTTATAAATATTTCCACGTAGTTTCAGAAAATGGGATTTATTCTGGAAGTACCACCCGAATGGCCTTATTAGGACGCATAGAAGGTGCTCTAGAATCTTCAGAATTGGTTGATCAGTTGAATAGTATATTAAATGAGCATCAAACAGCCATAGTTAATGCTCGATTAGATCGGTAAGTATGTTTGGGAAAAACATGTGGACCTCATGGAAAAAATGTAATTATTCACATATTTTATCGCCGTTAGATGTAAAAACAATACTGAACGCTTGAAAGGTTTCTGAAATGTTATGATTTTTATAGGTCGTCTTTACACAACCTCTTCAGGCAATCTATTTTTTTAACATGATGTCTCATTTTTTTATTGGAACACCATTGTTAAACTGGTCAGCACGTGCAATTTTAGAGATGTATGTGGCATCTAGTCGACCCATGTTCATTTATTCTATTTCAGTAATTTTTAGAGACACATTCATAAGCACCCCATAAATGACTGCTGGCACTGTGCTAATCCAAGGATATGGACTCTCCTGATCATGTTGTTATGCATATGTAATACTGAAGAGTCTGACATTAGGTGGAAACATATATGTATATATATTTATAGTACCCCTTAGCTTGAAAAATTGAAATATTATTCAGTATTACTGGGTAGCGGTCCCTCTGCTTTTTTAACGATTCTTTAAATATTGTCACTTAGTGAAACAATCTACTTTTTAAATAAGCAGAGTTTAATCCGGTACTCAGAATTTCACTGTTGTAATAGACGTTTAAATAAACTACATTATAATCTGGTTATCTTCAGTTGTAAACAATTTCCTTTTCTAGTGCGATGGCATATATGAATTCTTTCTATATGTTATCAACACTTGTAACAGTAGTTGATTGTCAATAAATTGTAACATATAAGTAGCTTAAAATCACACTAGGAGCCATTTTCACAATATATATATATATATATATATATATATATATATATATGCAACTAATGTTTTGAGTGAGCTGAAATTTGATAAATAGATCCAACCGTTCCACCTGATTTTTTTAAGGCTGTAATTAGTTTATCGTTTTTCTCAATTAGTTTGAATGGATTATTAATAGTGCAATATGTTATTATTGTACTGCTTCGTCTAGATTATTTATTAAGAACATTTTTTGTGACGACTGCTGGTACATTTTAATTGCTGTAGAAAGCTCACTTGTTGTTGGTGTTCACATGTTACCGTTATTTTCATATGTCATTAATCTCACATATTCAATTTGTGGAATCATCAAAAACCAGATACACTTCATGACTATCAACCATATGTATGCAGATAATTATGCTTACAGAGCTTATGCTGCTGAGTAGTAAAAAAGCAGTAGATATGTAATGAACAGGATATTTTTTTAAAATAAGTTGTGGTTTATTATGATCTGCTTAGGTACTAAGGCTGTTACAGTTAATCTCTTTGGCTATCTGCTTACCACCTTGTCTGATCCAGCTTCATTCGGGTCATAGATAGCTGTATGATTTCACTGATAGGATTCAATCTTCACTGAACAAAGAGATAGACGCATGACATTAGTTACTAACCAGTGTCCAATCAAGGTATTTATTGCAATCCCACAGTCGCGAGTCCGAATGGCTCACTGATAACGTCTTTGACTGTGGCACTGGTTGACCAGGATTCGAACCACAGAAGGGACATGAATTCCTTCAAGATTGTATATACGCCTTGCCGATGAGTGTCAGTAAGCACGAAACCTAGATCCAAAGCTTCCCGCTGATTGCCTGCAAACAGCTGAGTATTTTTCTTACTTTATCGAAAGTTACTACATCAGTACTTTCTGCTGGTGTAGTTGTACTTTACTACTTGAATAAGTACGTCAATGGGATAGTCCCATCTTTCACAAAAATCATCAATTTATTGTTCTATTTAGTTGCTAACTAAAGTATGTTGTATAATAAAATATAAACTCTGTCACAAAACCTCGGGTGCCATCTAAATTAATATTGGGAAATACATATGAATTCGGATGTCTGAAAGTCGCTGTTAGTAGTTGTGCCTTGACAGCTGTTGTATCGGTCCATTGCTTTAAAACATAACTTTTCGTAAACAGACTACTTCCTGTTCTGTTTCGTAATATATATAAGCGTCATACTTTACATTTGGAAATAAAGTAGGTATATGTCGATTTGCATTGCTACATAGTATTGTTAACTTCTGAACACGTTGATACACGAAATTGTATTTGATTTTTGTAAAAGTTATACCTTAATGTCTGCAAATCGTTTAACATATCAACTCACAAAAATAGATTCACCATATTACGGTCATACCATTACTACTGAAGAGAAACTCTCTGCGTAAACATGATACTTACCAAGTTGGTCTTACATCGGAATTATCACTTCTGTATTCAAAAACTCCAACGCACTTCACTTTACATGTTATGCACATAGTTACTACAGGTGGAATGTAACAGAAGATAAGAGAATTTGGTAACAGAATTATTTACTGGCAACTGGATGTACAGACGTAAGCGAAATACGTCCATCATGTATTAGAATCACAATTTTGATGTAGCTTCGGTATTGTGCTGTGTCTTCCTTTCATGTTTTCCATGTTGTTTCACAAATATCGTACATTAAATCCATCTTTCCGCTTTCAATATTTTTGCATATGATATACACATTTGTATCTGCGTCTGTAGACTTCTTATGGACCTTGTCAGTAGCACACTCCATAGTAATACTTTCGAAAGCTGTAATTCAATAGAATCATAGTATTATATTATTGGTTATATTACGCTTGATATATCACATCCATTTAACTACTTTAGATTGCATTTTTTTGAACTGAAAGTCTTTAGATATTGGAAAAATTGTGATCACAAAATATGATTATTCAAGTGTGCTTTGTTGAATATTAAGTAATTTTTGATCATAACATTTCATGCTAAATTGCTTTAATCATAGAGAAAGCCTTTTCAGTGTCCATTTCAAATTATTTAAGTTGTGATCCGATTTAGCAAATATGAAGCAGTGTCAATTTACTACCAATTGCTTCTTCTGAATACGCACTTTCCTTAGAAAGAAGTGCAAAAATTATAAAACACCATGTAACATAATTTAAATTAGTGTAAAATATTGTTCCACACTTACCATGTGTCAGATACATTCCCTAGGAAATGGTGTAATCTTGATGTAAGTGAGAATTATAGCGATTTTTATTTCGTACATCATATTTATTTAAATACTTCATGAATTCCTCTCTGTATTTAGGAGCGAGCGAGAGATAAATGCTCAGTTGAGGCGTGAACAGGACTTAGCATATGAAGCCTCGCTTGCGGAAGACCGTGCCAAAGTAGCTGCTCGGGAAGCTCAACAGCGGAGTGCTGCTTTAGCAGCTGAACAGCTGGCTAGAGAAGCGAAGCGCAAAGAGGACCTACAAAATGCCCACCAAAAACGTAAACTTGTTTGGCAGCGTCGTCTACCTCCACAACCCAAGTTTCAAGAGGGATCTACTGTACAGTTATCATTCAAGATGCCACAAGGTTCCAGGGTTTCCCGTGTTTTTAATGTTAATGATTCTATTAAGGTAATATTTATTAATTTGAACTAAAAGGTTCATTATTCATCGTTGGTAGTAAATGTTTAGTTTATGCAGAATAAGACGCTACCATCATTTATTTCGTTGGCTTCTCATCACCTGTGTACAACCTTAAGAAATTAAGTTTACGTACAGGAAAATTTTAATATACTTGCAAATGTTACATGTGACGTCAGTTGATAAGAGGCACTGCTGATTAAATTCGGAGCCTCCTGTCACATTTGCAAATTGTCCTGCACAAACTGTTTTTCTTGCTTTATTCAAATTCATAAAGGTGAATAAACGTATGAAGTAAATACTCAAACAACTGTTGATCTAATATTTTTCAGATGCTGTACTATTTTGTGCTGTCTCAAGAAGATTCACCGGCGGAGTTTGAGATACAGTCCAATTTTCCTAAACGCGTTTTACCATGTCAACCTTCCGAAGAGTCTGATATAGAAGACTACATTGACAATTCGGACAATAAAATGGATTCTGTTGAAGAATTCGAAGTAATTACAGACTGGCGTTCTAAAAGTCAGGATGATCCACCGTCATTTCTTGAACTTGGCTTAACAAAATCTGAATTGTTGTTTGTTCTGAATAAGAATGCATGAAGCCTTTCCAAATCTCGACGCAAAGATGTAAAGTTGTCCTTCACCGAGTAACAACAGTTTCTCTGTATCCCTTCGTGTTCAAAACTAACCACTACACTTCATCTGTGTAATCAGGATTTCTGTAATGTAAACACAAGTTTTACTCCACTCCTCCTTGAAAGCTTTCGTTTACACTGAATTCGTGTTGTTATCCTTCCTTTGACTTTATTGTCTTTAAAACATTCATAGTATTTACCCTTTAGTGTGAATATGCAAAACATTCCTTTCAGACACAAGTGCACGTGTTTAGTTCCTTTCTCAATATTGGCTTTAAAGTCCCACTTGAATCGATCTCTTGTGGAAAAAAAGACTACCAGTGTTTATTACTAATCATTGTGATCACATGTGTGTAAAGTCTTTCCCTTTTTTTCAAAACAACTTACACAAGTTTTATGTAAATCATTTTGAGTAACACTATTTTTATTTCGTGAATGGCGAAATAACCATTGTATTTTCGTTGTGTACAGTGCATGCACCGAAGAACTACTTATATTTTCATGTTTTCTGAGGCTTTGTAAATTGGCTTTTGTTTTATTGATTTAATTCATCCGTTTTCTCTAGGTGGTTACTTCAAAACGAGTTACCAGTTAAAATACCTTATTTGTAATCGAATAATCTGTACCACTTATCGAAGCTGTCAGAACTGAAAAGGGTAGTACTTTTTGGTAGGTGGTAAACATTATTTAAATCGTTCATATTCACCATTTAACTAGTTTTTAACTTCGTCCATGCTTTATAATTGAGTCAGAAAGACTTAATTGTTTTTATTCTATGCTACCCAGCAGCATTATTTATGTACATAAAAATTCCGGAACATTTGCGGGAGCAATTCCACGTCTTTTAGCTACGATTCAAGGCTGCATTTCTTGAGTCCGTATTCTTGGTTGCGACGATGGTGTGACTTCATAAGATAAATGATTATTTCCTTTTCTTGCTTAATGTCAATCAATTGATAGGAAGCCTAAAAATAAGTCTTGTTTTTGCTATCGTTCAAAAACACCTTTAAAATAACAATGATTTCGACTACTTAGATGAAATCAAAATGTCCCATAGAAACGAAATTGTGACTGAGTTCAGGGTCACATTTCGTTATACTATAGTCAGTATCTTACATGAGGCACCAATGTAAGAACACTACTAAGTGACCTCCAGCGTCAGCTGACTTTGATATTACTGCCGGTATGTTAGTCATAAGGTACTTAAAGTCATTCTTGGGACTTAAGTTTTTGAGTGTAACAGATTGACATAAACTGTCATCAGACGCTATTCTAACGGATGAAGTAATTCTTAATTCTAAGTGCCGAATATACGTATAATATGTGTAGAGGATTACTGTCTTAGAATACTATAAGCATCTCCAGCCTCGTATTTGAATGAGTACTGCAGCCTGCAAGTTAATAAGATATCCTGCAAGTGGCTAAGCCCCAAAAACAGTAACACACCGTGCTCAGAATTGTATCAAGGAAAAGACAGACACGCTCAGCCCAATGAAACATCAGTATTAGCAGTCACGGACACTCTAGCTTGAATGATATTGTCGAACATACAGTAGAAAGGTTTCATAGAATCTGACATGATAAACAGTTATGAATTCTGCACAGCAATTTTGCATAGCCTACAGTGAGACAGCCCAACTAGATGATCTTCCTGTAACTAACTTTAACTGAAGTCACACCTACTTACTCAACATCTCGTGGCCACTAACTAATCAGACACTACCCAGACTTCGTCTTGCGTACCTACTACTAAGCAATTTTAATGTGTTGTTTTTATGATTGGTTAAACATCATATCATGGTGACTATTACAAGCTCAATGAATTATGAAATCTAAATTCTGTACTGGTTGACAGATTACATTCAATAAGCTGAACCGCATCGAAATTCTACATCTATGAAGTTGATATACGCCGAAATATGAACCTGTGTTATTCAGCGTTAAAATTTCTTTTCGTTAATAGAAGTTTAAGGAATCCAATCTTCAGTTTGATATCTCATCTTACCCTAGTGTTCATTACGCTCAAATACAGTGCTCTTGACAAAATTAAATAAAGTCTTTGTGAACATGTTTTCTTTTGCAGCATACGTGCCGTTAATAATTTGCTGACGTTTTGTCTGTTGGATACAGGACAACATAGGGAGGATAAAATGCTACTCCTCACCACCAACCAATAGGAAGACAAATTCAACCTAAATTTCAATCACTACATATTTTATTTCATATTCAGCGATTAATCCGATGATTCCAGTATCATAAATACCTTTTTTATGCATAATATACAATCTTTTGATGCGAGTTTTCGTTTTATTCTGATAAAAAAGATGGTCATTCACTTCGCAGTATGCTGGAACGGCATCAACTATCAGCGACAACTGAAGGAACCACATCATATTAGATCTCGTTTCTTTTTAATTATCACTGAGGCAAAGGTTGATTCCTTCAGAGAAAGTTAGTAAGATCAGAAAATACAAATAATTCTACAGATATTTCAGATGACCAGCGAAATACAAGTTTGAAATACTATTAATCCCTAAGGTTCCGAATAGAACATACGACTTCAACAGCACATCTCTATTCCACCCTGTTCTCTGTTGTCAAGAGTGCGTCGGTGGCATAGCGGTTGGGACCCTCGCCGACCATTCACATGGTCCGGGGTTCGATCCCCGACCGACGCACTCCTTTACTCCGCTAAGCCAGAAATAATGCTGGTGAAGAGGGAAGGTTGGGCATGAGGCTAGCAACCTCATCCTGTAAAATAAACACTGCTACAGAAACTTCAAGCCACTAGCTTGGAGCCCTATGTTCCACTGGGGAACGTGAAGGTAAAATGAATGAATCTGTTGTCAAGATTGCACATGAGCTCCCACCTCCTCCATGTCATCTTCCAACGCCCAACTCGTTGTTTCCCATTCGGGCTCCACTCAAGGGTTTGACTCGCGATGTCAACCAACTGTCTCTTCAGCGTATGTCCAATCCATCTTCATTATCTACTGCATATATACTGGGCAATAAGTAGTTGGCTCATTCCCACAGTTCCTAGTTGCTTATTATTTCTCGCTGACCATCTCACCTTTAGTATCGAGCGAAGGCAGATGTTGATAAGTCTGCAGTGGGCTGTTGGAAATACTTTTTGTGGGGCGCCAAGTCTCTAAACCATATAGAACTAATTTGACACGTGTTGAAAATCTAAATCTTGTTCTCTTCTGCTGAGTGCAGTAGGTCTTCACTGATTTCAGATTACTGAAGGTTTGTCTTGCTTTTCCGACTCTGTCTTTGACACCATCCATTCCGCGTTTAGTTGAATCGACGCTGCCCAGATAAAAGTGGAAGGAGTGACTTCAAAATCTCTCCCGTTGGTACTGAATGGTTCTTATTGTTGGTGGTTGGATATCTACATCACCTCTGTCTTCTCCATGTTCACAAGGAGTCCTGTTTTCGCTGCTTCTTTTGCCATCTTGCTGATTTTAAATTGAAAATTCCTATTGGATCATAAAAAGATGTTCCAGAAAAGTTACTCCCTTCAACGACTTTGATTTTCCCTTGTAAACCTTCAAATTTGTGACATATTGTCCACGAAGCCCAGGTCTTCTCTTCTGTCTTATGTATTCCTCCTTTTTGCTCCCCAATCTGCAGTATGATCCAGTTGACTGCAACCAGATTAGCACGTGCCAAGTTCTATGACGGGGTTTTTCACCTGTCCACAGCACACATCCCTTCTCCGCCCTAAGCAATGATGCAACTATTATTTTTTTATCTAAAAACGCAAATGCTGATAACTGAACAACTTTACGCAATCAAAAAAGAGGTAAAATACCAGATGGTTGTTTTACAAAAAAATAAGTGGTATATTTTCATCTTTACTAAACAGGATTACTTGTATTAAACTTTTACAAAACAGAATTACTTGGCCAATTTACTTAGCCATAAGCAGCAACATTAATTTCAACAGACAGTACTCCAGTGTTTGAGAAGAATGCTATCGTCGCAGTTTCTTTACATCCCCATCCAAATCATTTATAGAACTTTTCAAATATTCCCATTGTTCCAAGTTCAGTGAGATTCCTAAAAAAAATTAGGATGAAGTATAGTTTTTTTACAATATACACGCTGTTTTTATTCATTTATTTAGAGATTTCTGCACCTGTTATATTACCATTCATTTCTCATCTGATACGCCTATATATCAAGTAAACAGCTAACTACTTGGACACCTGTCACTCCCTAAATAAGTGAACGTTTATCTGAGAACTAAAACTAGAATAATTATTCTAAGCGTCATCTTAACTACGGCCATCAAACGAGGTCGGAACTGTTCCAAGGTGGTATACAAACAGAAAACCGACGTAAGGAAAATGCCATAATTTGCAAGAGCGAACTAAGTTTAGGTAGAGGAACAATAGAAGTGAATGAAAACAGGAAAAAAAGTAACAAACAGAATATTCCTACAGAGTAAGGAAAGGAACTGACAAACATACTCTATAAACCACAGATCTTTATTTGAATTGGTCAACAGTAGGCGGAGGTTAATAGAATGTGTATTAAGACAACCCATAATACTCACTAAATTCGTAGTAGATGCACTGATGAATGTAAAAGCGCTTACCACTTCCGAAACATTGAATACGCTCCCTGAAACGAAGCGGTAAAATAAAGTACTCCAAAAGCCCCCACCTTTCCTTCACTTGCCCCCTTTTATCACAATATCACTGCTACTCTATTATTTCACACCCCTAACAAATTAACGTAGAATTTTGCAAAACAGCGCAGCAGTTCACGTTGGTACACATCATCGGAGCACAAACGGAAGAATGGGTGTGTGGAGAATAACAATTTAATAGATCTGCAATTTCATAAAGTGTATGCACCTGCACCATTCAAAATGACTTGAAACAAGTGACCGAATCTTCAGTCATTAATTTTTAGCGCCTCGAGCACGCCAATCAGTTTGTACCTCCCTGGGACTCAAAAAGTCAAAGAATTCACGGATTCATGCTGTTTTAACTTGACCACCAATTCAGTTTGATGCTGATATTTATGTTCTCTTTACATACAAGTACAATAGTTTCACAAGAACACAGCAAAATGAACAAAATTCGGATTTTGAACACCAGTGTGAAGTCAGTTCTATGTTGGTCAAAAACTTTACGCGTCACGAAAAGCATTTCCAACAAGTCAGTGTAGATTTTCATCAAGAGCTACCCTTGCTCCATATTGAAGACAAAATAGCCACAAAGAACGAACGACAAGGAACTATGCGAATGAACTAACAAAGGACTTATTTCTCAACAAATATGCAGAAGAAAATGGAGATAGAACGGACACACACTGCAACAACCGTCCAATGACATCGCGCGCAAGGCCATCGAGAAGAGTCGGAATGGGAAAGGATGAGTGGGACGTTTGCGGGGGAAATGAGAGCTTATGGGCAATCGCGGGACTAGCTAAAGAGGACTACAGAGAACAGGGTGAAATGGAGATGTGATATGGAAGTCCTATGCTCTACTCGGAACCCTAGAAATAATAATTGTGAATTTGAACAAGAACCAGTTTACAAAGTAGGTACTGTCAGGCTTACTGAGCCTCGTATTATGCAACACTCTGAATACCCCTCTCTAAAATAGGTTGAATTTGTACAGTACCAGTTGAAATCGACATTATTGACATAAGAACTAAAAACACGTTTTGTCACCAGCAGCCTTACATTTTTCACTTTTATCATTATTAATTAGGCTAACCAGACTACCACGAGTTAATTTTCAGAAGTCAACTTAACAAAAATATTTCCTTACCCTTCTTCCCAGGTTTCAATTCCCCGCTGGATTTGTCTTCATAATACTCCCGTATGTCCACAAACACCTTTCCCCTAAAATCTCTGACGCAAGCGAACTTTTTCCCCGTTAAATCAATTAGCTGTTCTCCGCCTGATGTCGTCGTTTTAGATAATTTTGTAGAACCACCTGACCGATTAGCTTTCTTGGTTTCAATATGCTGGAAATGTCACAAAAGTATTTTAAGGTTACCTCATCGAGATCTGAAAGGGAGGAAATAGATGACTCATCTTTCGGGGAGGCTTTTCTTTTGCTCGCCATCATAAATGACCTTGAGGATGGATTTAGAAGAGGACTTGTACGAATGCAGTAAATAAACCTAGTAAATTTCAAGGCATACTACAAAATCCCTCATAAATTTTAAAAAACAAAAATAAGAAATCTATAACAAGAGTTTCGGTGTGCACTCTTGAGTTACATATGAAACCAGGTGTTAAAATAAATTATTCGAACAAAATAATGGACGATAATTATTTACACCCAAAGACAAGACGAGCAGAGCTTGTTACTTCAAATATTAACCGCAGTGGATGACCACACGGCAAACTGATGCGTTTCAGAGAAACAATAGGAAGCTATAGCCAGACTTTTGGTTCACGTACTTTAGACATCTGCGAGCCTGAGCGACTGTTATTTAAACAAGTATGGTAAGTGGATTGTATTACGATCACTAAAATAATACTAGTGTCATTCTTTCCTCCTTGGAGCCCATAACCACACAAACACTCCAAATTTGATTCGCCTGGAATTTATATGGTTGTGACGAACCCAGCTGCTGAATGCGCATCATACACAGGTAGCATGTATATAAGACTATATATATATATATATATATATCTTTATACATAATACACTAGTCAACTTCCTGTCCAGAAGCAATTTCCAAAAGGACCTCTGGATACTGTGAAATTAACAAAATATAATTTGTGGGTGACTGGGAGTCTTACGCAAACATGAGCAAGAGAAGAAATCGGAGAATCCCTCATGCTACAACCAAATCACATAAGGTCATCCGCACTGAATTTGCGGAACGGATCACAAGAGGATCAAGTTTGATCTTGATAGAAAATGGATGGACTGAACCTACTCAAACGAGCTTGTGAGGAGGATGGTTGAAGGGATAATCGGTCTTTTGGGAGGATTCGGATTATAAGCCATAACAAAGGAAAAACCTGATATATAAACGGACCACAGAACTCCATAATATGCAATTATCTTTCGAACGTTTTCACTATTTTATTGTTCCTTAATTCTAGACTAATTGCTCAAGGCCTTCTCTGAGGTCCATCAGGAGGAGTGTTATAGTTTAACTTCACCCGTTGTAGAAGCGTGAGAAATATTGGGGTGACTTAGAATATATATTGCGTTCCAGTAAAAGCGGGACAACACACCACTTAGTGCGCCATTTTGGGAAAGTCAACCAAGATGAGGAGAATTGTTCTTTAATTTAAGTGGTTTGTCAGGGACTTTGGGTTATTCGTGGAGTATACACATTGGATCATAGGAATAATTAAAAAGATGGTTGCAGCGAAGAAAATTTTCTTTTCGACGAAGTCATCAACTAGGCTGTACATTCGTGTATTTATATTACATGCGTGAGAAAGTTCCAGAATTATTTCCGGTCAGACGTCAGATTAACAAGATTACTAAGTTTAATAAGTAGAAGATAGGTAGTGGCACTGTTCTAGAAATATTTCAGGCCAAAGGTCAAATTAAAAATTACAATGTGTAATAATCAGGAAGATCGGGTAGAAAAGACAAAAGAGGATTATAATTACTAGAAAACTAGTCAGTTTGTATAATTACGGGTTAAGGACACAGTATTAACGAAATGTGTAGGAGGTTCGAACATATAGAAATAAAAACAGTAACCAAGTCTAATAATGAAGATAGGGATTTAAGAGGTAAATATGACAAACAAACGGGAAGGTTGGACAAGAAAGGCAATAGGATAATCATTATTAGTGAGACTGACTTTTCATGATGCCCACGGTAGGGACATCGGTTGGACGTATATCTTTTGGACATATAGAACAGGCTTGAGGTTTTGGATAGCCAGTGCCTCAGATATTCCTGGATGTCTTGATTTCACTCCCTTTGGTAGGTTGGATCAAATCAACCCAGTCCGAACCTCCTACACATTTCGTTAATACTGTGTCCTTAACCCGTAATTATACAAACTGACTAGTTTTCTAGTAATTATAATCCTCTTTTGTCTTTTCTACCCGATCTTCCTGATTATTACACATTGTAATTTTTAATTTGACCTTTGGCCTGAAATATTTCTAGAACAGTGCCACTACCTATCTTCTACTTATTAAACTTAGTAATCTTGTTAATCTGACGTCTGACCGGAAATAATTCTGGAACTTTCTCACGCATGTAATATAAATACACGAATGTACAGCCTAGTTGATGACTTCGTCGAAAAGAAAATTTTCTTCGCTGCAACCATCTTTTTAATTATTCCTATGATCCAATGTGTATACTCCACGAATAACCCAAAGTCCCTGACAAACCACTTAAATTAAAGAACAATTCTCCTCATCTTGGTTGACTTTCCCAAAATGGCGCACTAAGTGGTGTGTTGTCCCGCTTTTACTGGAACGCAATATATATTCTAAGTCACCCCAATATTTCTCACGCTTCTACAACGGGTGAAGTTAAACTATAACACTCCTCCTGATGGACCTCAGAGAAGGCCTTGAGCAATTAGTCTAGAATTAAGGAACAATAAAATAGTGAAAACGTTCGAAAGATAATTGCATATTATGGAGTTCTGTGGTCCGTTTATATATCAGGTTTTTCCTTTGTTATGCCTTATAATGATGATATGATTGGGTCAGCAGGGTTAATGGAGTGATTGCAGTAAATTGAGAATAAATTGTACGTAGAACTAACGATCCATTATGAATAACACCAATACGAAACACTTACCCAACCTGCGCGCTGCAAAGTCGAATTCCTGTGCGCTCTACTAAATGACCTTCACGCCCTTCACTCTTGAGAACTCTGTCAGTTTGTCGTAAATTCAACTAGCAGTAACCTCAGGAATGAGTGACATCATACCTAAAAAGTTCAGATTACTTCGCCTCATTTGCTAAAATGACTGAAATACTTTTGAATTTTTGGAATAACGACATATGGTATAAACCCTATCGGCTGAACTTATTCGGCAAGTTGGTTGAAATTTCGCTAGGTAAATTATTTTTTCAATAACTTTTGACAGAACTGTGTCAAACATGCCATTTTAGGTAGACTCATATACTACCACCAATCAAGTAAAGCGATGAAAAATAATGTTATATTATAAACGAAGCTATAAAATTTCGTGAGTACGTTGGTATGATTATGATAAATAAACTTCGCTTGAATTATCATCAGTAAATATTACTGCGTAACACTGTGAGACTTTATCAATTATACTCTACTTCAGTGCACAAGTTCTATTTTTATATCAGTGTGTCATATATTGTCTAAGTTGATGGGAACTCATTTGCCGATATCGCATGTCGGGGTCTACGACATGTGGCCTGGATGCGGCACACTATCAGTATAATGGTTGCAATGGTTTGCGTTTCAGGCAAACGTTGTTGAAATGATGAAACTACCTAATGAACAGGTTAATGACCTTAAGCAACCAGTCAGATGAGTCCGTAGTATATAGAGGGAATTGTGGATGCCCTACGCAAATTACGTAGCGAATTTCATTCAAATCTAGTATTCTAGTACTGCTCAGACAACAGGCCCATTCGAAGGGGGAAAACGTGTCATTCCTGTGCTATTTTTATAATCTGGGCAATAATACGGACGATTTTGTTAATCCTTTCGATGTGAACCACACAAATTCCACATAAAGTTTCTATAGCCACTCCAAAAGGAGGATCAGATCGGTGGATGAGTCGAAAAACACTGTGGTTTACTTCCATCTCAGTTAATTTATTTAAAGGAATTTGTTTGACGAAATTATTAGGACTCCTATTAGAAGCTGAAAGGTATTGAAGGACGTTACCTCAAATAGCCACATTTTAACACTGCCTTAATCTCACATAAAAGTTTTTTAAATTACCCACACTACGGGCATATCTGATTGGTTGACGTAGATTTGCCAACGGTCCTTATTATGTACTTTCGTTTAGGGCTGCTTTAGTTTGGAGTTACCTGTTGAAGCTGCACTTTCTCTCACGGTATCATGAAGACTGCGCACGTATCGGGATATCAGCAGGGCCTATTTAAATGTAAAGCGCAGCATTAGTTGACAAATTAATGGTATCAGTGCATGGGAATCACCTACAAACGCTTACAGAACCTGTGAGAACAGAATTCAGTTCTCATGTGTTTTTCCCGACCTGTGTTTGGAAAACAATTATCTTCAGTCGAAAAGTTATTCATTCGCGACCGATAGCTGCTACCTTGACGTGGTAGTCGGGCTTGCATATCGCAATGACCCAACGAGCTACACTGGCTGGAACTTATGTTCCTGTAGGTCCTACCATGCCAGAAAGGTTGTTTGGATAACGGTTAGACAAAAAGCAGCTACCCAATCCAATACTATGATCCAAACAAACTCACAAAATATCATGCCGGATCGTTCTGGGCCCGCATTAACAATGACAGCTCTTCCTGCTGCTGTGTCACAGGGCAGAAGTGATAAATATGCTACTGAGACACACCAAACAAGAAAGAACAACCAAAAACAGGCCGCGTGTGACCGGCCTAAAACAGTTTTCCCCCGGGCTCTGCGGTCACGTAACACTAACCTTATCTCTCTCCCCTTCTCAGACGTGAGGCTAGCAACCCCCTGTAAACAAAGCTGCTACAGAAACTTCTGCACGATGAATCTCCTTGTGCCAAAAGAAGAAGTCTGTGTGGAGACATGGAACGTCCGCAAACGAAATGAAAATATACGGAACTCAAGTACTGGGGATAGGTGAAAGAAGATGGAACGGGAATAGACTCACCGAATTGTCAACGGGTGAGTCAGTGATCTAACCCGGTCACCCAGAGGATAACCACATGCACACCGAGGGCGTGGCTGTCATGATGTCACCAACGGCAACGAAGGCGCTGATGCAATGGGAGGCGATCTCGCCCAGAATAATGACACACCGCCAGATTCAACTCCAAAGGAAGGTAAGTATCAGTTACACAATGCTATGCACCGACAAACAACGCAGACCTCGAAAAGAAAGAAGAATTCTACAGACAATTACAGGCAACAATGGACAATACTCCAGTCGGCGACATTAAAATAATAATGGGAGACATGAACGCCAAACTGGGATCAGACAACACAGGAAGGGAACTCATCATGTGTAGAGAAGCTCTCGGAGAAATGAATAAAAAGGAGAACTCTTCGCCGACTTCTGCGCCTTCAATGAACTAGTGATTGGTGGCAGCGTATACAAACACAAAGATATCCACAAGGCTACATGGGTGTCACCAGATGGGCAAACCAAAAACCAAATTGACTTCATCTCAATGCTGCTCAAGGAAGTGGAGGCGCAGCCTACTGGACACAAAAGTAAGAAGAAGATCAGACGTTGGCTCAGACCACTATCTCGTACAACGGACAATCCAAATCAAATTAAAAGCTTTCAAAGAAACAGGAGCTGCAGATAGACCACAAGCCGAGTTCAATACTCAAAAGCTGAAGGACCAGGATACAAAGAACATCTTCACAGCAAGCATAAGTTTTTTTGTGGTTATTTTTGATTACAGCTTGATTCCACACCGTATTTTTTGGTACAGGTATGGAATTTTCAACATGTGATATCGGTATTCTAAATTTTGCAGGCCGACCACAGATATCAGGTGTGCCTTGGCAGGAGATCGAACCCCGTACCCCGGAAAAAAGCCGAGACACAAATTAACACTAGGGAAGAGGTCAGTGTCGAAAAGCACTGGAATAACTCGGAAACAGTGTGGAGTCAAACCTGTATGGAAGTTCTAGGCAGGAAGAAGAGACAGGACAAACAGTGGCTCACTACGCACACTTGGAGACTGATAGAAGAGAGAGGGATGATGAAACAAAAGATTCTCCAGTGCACCGACGAGCAACAAAAACAGGATTCGAATGCAAGCTACAAGACACTGGACAAAAGTGTAAAGAAGAGTGGCAGGGAAGACAAAAGAAAGCATTATGAAGCCATGGCAAGTCAAGCAGAACAAGCTGCAGGCAAGGGAGACCACGCAACACTCTAACAAACAACTAGGTACCTATCGGGCAAAAGATTGACACAAGTTAACCCGGTGAAGGATGATAATGGAAAGTCACTCAACAAAGAAGTGGAGCAAAGGAAACACTGGGCTGAACACTTCAAAAGACTCCTAAATCGACCACCACCTACAACGCGCCCAGCAATACCAACAACGGAGACAGAGCTACCAGTGAACACCAACCTCCCGAGGAGAACAGAAATCCTGAGAGCTATCAAGATGCTTAAGCTGGAAAAGCAGCAGGACCAGATGGAATTCCAGCAGAAGCGTTGAAAATGGACTCAGAGACAACAGCGGACTTGATGACGCCACTACTGGAGAAGGTGTGGAAAGAAGGCAAAGTACGCGAGGATTGGAAGAAAGGATACCTACCCAAACTACCAAAGAAAGGAGACTTAAGTCAATGCAAGAACTGGCGCGGAATTATGCTCCTGTCCATCCCAAGCAAAATACTAAGCCGCATCATCCTGGAGAGAATCAAACATGCCCTGGATGAAAAACTTCGACCGGAACAGGCTGGATTCAGGAGAAACAAGTCATGTAATGATCAGATCGCCACATTACGGATCACCAATGAACAAAGCTTGGAATGGCAGTCAGCTCTCTATCTCAAATTCATTGACATTGAAAAGGCCTTCGATAATGCAGCATCGATCGAGAGGTGATTTGGAAACTACTTCGCTACTACAGGGTGCCACCAACAATTATACATCTCATCCAACAGCTGTACGACAATGCTGCATGCCAAGTAATCCACAACGGGAAACTTACGGAACCCTTCGAAGTGAGGACAGGAGTAAGACAAGGCTGCCTACTATCGCCAATGATTTTCCTGATTGCGGTAGATTGGATAATTCGACAGACAGCGGGCAATGAGAAAACAGGCATAAAATGGACACACACAAAAAACTTGGAGCATCTGGACTTCACCGATGATATATGTCTGATTTCTCACGAACTGGAAGATATGCAGGCGAAAAGCAACAAGTTGGCAGAAGAAGCATCAAAGATAGTACTACAGGTGAACATAGAGAAAACAGAGGTGATGAAGATTCCCGGCCAACAACAACAGACAACAATCAGCATAAATGGAAGGAACCTGAAAGAAACAACCTCCTTTACCTACCTGGAAAGCATCGTCTCAACTACAGGCGGAACTGACGGGGATATCAAAGCAGGAATCGGGGAAGCAACACAAGCTTTCATTTCTCTCAAGTCTGTATAAACATCAACAGAACTCAGCATCAAAAATAGGATCCGGATAATCAACTCCAATGTGAAATCAGTGCTATAATACGGATCAGAGACTTGGCCTGCGCGTCATAAAGAGCATCTCAAAGAAACTGCAAACCTTCATTGACAGATGTATTCGATCAATACACAACACCAGATAGCAAGAGAAGTTCAGCAACAGGGATTTCTGGGAGCGAAACAACCAGTAACTGATTGTCAAACAAATAGGCAGGAAGAAATGGAGATTGAATGGCCATAGTCTGAGGAAACCATCAAGTGACATCACTAGACAAGCTCTTGAGTGGAACCCGAAAGGGATGCGGCGAGTTGATCGTCCAAAGGTTACTTGGAGGAGGTAATTTGAAGAGGAGATGAAAACGTTTGGGCAGACATGGAGCCAGGTGAAGACTCTAGCAGAGAACCGAACTCAATGGAGACGCACAGCTGAAGCCCTATGTTCCTCTAGGAATTAAAGGATACAATATATATACTTGAATCTATTGTCTTGCCTAAACTCCAAATTGTTGTTGACCTAGGACTCTGGTACCCTATTGACCTGACACTTTCTGAGCAAGTGGCAACGCAGTCGCGTAAATGGACGATGCTCTTAGGATGCATACTCAGGAATTTCCACAACTACGAAGCGAAACTATTATTATATAAAACTTGTGTCAGACCACTACTAGAATAT